GAGTATGAGTAGGTGTGAATGGTAGTAGAGGCCTATACTACCGGAAGCACATGACTCACACTTGGATCAAAGAAAGTCACAAGGTTACCAAGAAGCTAGTAATTGATACCATTTTATTCAAGTATGTCGTTACCATTCTTTCGGTAATGACTAAGAAGATTGTTGTTATTCCGACCCTAGTGGTCATATCGAATTGAGTCCGACTAAGACGAGTATGTTACATGGTTCAGAGAACCAAGTCTGATCTGGAAGACTCTAAGAGACCTGAGTCTAAGCGTAGCAACATACGATGATAGGTCATTAGAATATGACACATCGTTCCATTGTAGTAATAAAAGAACTTATCTTAAGTTCGTATCCAGTAAGGATCGAGATTGTGACTTGAAGGTCATAATTTGGAGTCTAACGTGAGATAGGGAGCAAGTGCAAGATTGAGCACCGCCTGCAGTCAAAGAGCCAAGAGTTAGATACTCATTTGAAGAAACGAGGAAGTTACGATTATTACCTAGGATGAAGAGATAACGTATGGAGTCATTATACTGTCCTGTTTCGTTGATGATTCCGGGACGTAATCATCCTAAGGGGGATATAATTGTAACGCCCGTAGATCCGGGCTAGTCAAATTAGAGATAATAGGGGTCGAAAACGGCTTTTCGACAAAAGATTATTTAGAATAAATAATCTTAACTATGTTGTAGAGTATGTCTCAAGGGTTCCGTAGATATAAAGAACGCCGAAATCCGAGTTATAACGAAGAAGTTATGGCTCGTCGAAGTTTTACGGCAAAACCGGCACGACACCGGGAGACGTAAATAGTGAATTTACGATAGAGTGATTTTTAGCATTAGCAATTTGAATGAAAGTTGTAGAATATGTTAAACCGAGAACATCCATAAAAAGAACGCCCAAATCTGACTTCGTATGAGGAAGTTATGAATTTTCTAAGATCTGGCATAGCAGTGCACGGCCCGAAACTCGAATTTTAGTTTGAGCGGTTTTGGCCTATGCGACCTAAATGAGAGTTGAAGGTCTCATTAGAGGTGTCGGACATTGCCATTTCTCCACACCTCTCAAGCCTTCTTTCTCTCTCTAGAACCTCTCTCTAGCTCCCCTTAAGCCCCCTAAAGTCTAGGTAAACCCCCTAGCACCCGAAGGAAGCCCCGAGGCTCCCGGAGTCCCGAGAAAAAGGGTCTTTCGGCTCGGAAACGCTGCTCCAGCGAAGCCCGGTTTTGCGAAAAACCCTCTGTAAGTGAGCTATGCCTACCCTATCTTTAGTATAGCTTATGTTTTAATATAGTAACGTTATTAGGAACTTATAATAAGTATTTGGGCTATTATTATGAGTTATATAATAGTGTTGCTTAACGCTTATATAATAGTAATAATAGCTAGACTATTAAGTAGTCGCAGTTAACGTTAGACTAAACTCTAGTGGTAATGATACTAGGTTTTGTCCGAGGGAAATTGTTTTAACAGTAACGAAGTGCTGTCCGAGTACCGAGTCATCACCTTATCAGGTGAGTGCATAGTTACTTTCATCTTACACATAGATATGAAGTATTTTATATAAATTACGTGCTATGTGTGCATATTATCTGAATACTTGTTGTCTATGCTGGAAGAACGATTTTATACACGTTTTAAATGATTTAAACTGTATATGTATTTTATATCTACAAAATGTGTTGGGTAAAACATGGGTAGATTAGAGGTGAGATAAATGATGAACGATGAAAGATGAGATGAATGATGAGCGATGATATATGAGTGGTAAAATATGGTGCGAAGCGATGAGCCAAAACGATGAGCCTAAGGATGAGCCAAAACGATGAGTCAAACGATGACCCAAGCGATGTCCTCGTCATCTAGCAGAGTATGGATGAAAACCACGGACTATTCTAGACAGTCCAGTGGAACACTAACAGGCTCGCAACCTGTAGGTGTTGTGAACGATGTGTTCACCGGTGTACTCTAAAAACCCGTTGACATGTATTGCGAGTGGATTCTCGGAAACGATATTGTTGATAAACGAAATAGACCTGGCAGCTATGGATTTAGTGCCTGCTGAGTAAACCCTGGCAACTATGGATTTAGTGTGCGTTGAGTAAACCCTGACAACGATGGATTTCGTGCCTATTCCTTAGGATGATCCTTAGAAATGAATGAACAAGAAATAGCTGATTCTTAGGGTAGATCCTTAAGAGTAAATAAGTTAATGGGGATGGGTAATTGGGTTAATTGTTTGATGATTAAACATAATAATTATATTATTGTGGGTTGAAAACCCTATGTACTCACCAGGTTTCCCAACCTGACCCACTCAGTTTATTTGTATCACAGGTGTCGATATGAAGTTACATTACACTGAGAGATTTAAAAGAGATGTAGATCACTAGTGTAAATGAATGTAAGTTCTGTTTATGCTTATGTTTCTGTATTGACGATGAGATCCCAAATGTTTTAAAAGTGAATAAAAATACATTTCTTTAGAAATGCTTTGATAACGTATTTATCATATTTTACTGGGAACAAATTTCGCAACATTTTTATTGAAAGAAGAACTCTGATTTTTATAAAGCATAAACAAAATCGGTCTTTTCTGGCCGTGAAAATGGGGATGTCACACATTACACTTCCACCAAATGCCTAATGGTATAGCATATTACTAGCCGTTAACCTAATGATTAAGCAAACAAAGCAAGTAGGATCCTCCATAGGATTTTCCTGATTAGGAAAGGTATAAAAAGCATGTAGTAGCTTATAACCTGTTTCTGAAACTTTGAGCACAAACACATATACATTCATTCACCATTTTGATACCAAATAATTTATTTCCATGCATATTATCACCAGGGGCGAAGCCAAAATTTTAGAATAAGGGGGCTTGAATTATAATAAGATGTTAAAGTGTATTTTTATATCAATAAGATGTTAAAGTGTATTTTATATCTCAATAACTTAATGGCGACGATAAATTTGACAAGGAAGTTATGTCGCTAATCATGATTTCTTAAAGCACATGCTCGAAACATGAGTCATTTAATAGCCTCAACATAAGCTTTACTTTGTAATAATTAATAAGAATTTACCTCTCTTAAAATCGAAAATTATTTTTTTCAAGTTCAACATTAGTTGGTTTTTCGATATTACTATTCTTCATGTTTTTTTGACAATTTTGGTCCTTGGTTTATAGGCGTGCTTACAATTCTATATCTTTTCTTTTGTAGGTCATATTTTGACACTTTGTTTATTTTCGGTGGATACGTGTTCTTTCCACCGCCCATCTAAACCAATAGAGATGGATTGTCTGACACAGTTCCTCGGGTTTACTCCCTCATGTCACCGCTCACTATCCTATAACCCATCGCCTTCGATCCTTCCTCAACCCTCTTCGTCTCCACCGCTTCTCCCGTTTTCTTCATTACACATTCATCTTAACCATTTGATACCTTCATCGACATCCTGCTATTTGGTCACAAATCCTCTTCATCGACATCTAACCACCGATATCAACACCGCCTCTGACTCCTTTCATATTCTTTGGTTGCAACAGTTTTACTCTACCCATCGTCTTCCATAGAACAGTTGCTTCATTGAGATGTTGGATGAGATCACTGATATCAACACCGCCTCTGACTCCTTTCATCTTCGACGTAGTCGAAGCCTGAAGATAATCGTTTTTTTGGGGGGATTGGGCTTTCCAGAGAACACCACCGCTTCGTACATTCCTCCTGACCACCGACTTAATCCTCCAAAACTCTCAAATGTTTACCAATCGACCACCGCATCATAGATTCGTATCTGTTTCGTGCCCTACCCATCGACGTAGTGCGTCTCGGTTGGAGGAATCGTCTTCTCCATGGTCAGTCGGTCACAGCGCACTGCGTGGTCGGCTACATAGGGCGTCCGCTTACTACCAGTTATTCGCCTTATTCTTTGAATCGATTTCTTCCACCTGCTTGTGTGTTGCAGCTGATCAGAAGTTCTACTTATCTCTGTCTCCATTTGCTCCCACTTTTTGTTATTAGGTGTGATGGTTGTTGATGCGATGAAGGTTTGAATCTGATTTGCTGTTTCAGGTGACAAATATTGATCTTTTTGCTCTTTGTTTCCGATACGTTCATGTGTTTCTCCAATCTGAACGATTTGTTCTTTTTCTATACTTTCTTTTGATTTATGTGTAACACAGATGCTTTCCTATTTTTAGGTATGTTACAGTGCACACCAATTGTTTGTTGTAATGTTCCACCTGTTGGATTGTCAATTTTAATTAAATTAGCTTACACAACTGCTCAGTTTGGGACAATATGTCCAAAGAAGTAATAATTTTGTCATGAAATTGTTAGTTTTCACCACAAACGTATGTATGTATGTGATTGTTTATCTGCTTTTTGTAGATAAATGGGAAGAATTGTACCTGAATATGTCAATGAGTTTGTTGATGTAGGTAAGATCTGTATTTTTACTTCATCATATCGTTATTAAAATATTTCACCTTATTCTTTGGTAATTGCAGGTGAATGATAATCGATGTACTCTTAACTAGGTATTATAGATGGAATTCATTTTCTTTTCTCTTTCAACATTAAGAACATATATTTATGTCATATGAATTTCATTATGAAGATATGGTTTCAGGTGAGTTACATTTTTTTTTTGGTTTTCTTTAAGATTTGTTTTTATAAAATTTGGTCATTTATGTTATCAACCTCCATTGGTTGACCTTTGACACCTAATATACCCAATTTGTTTGGCAATGCTTATCCAAGTTCGTGATTGTTTGTTTTTATTTTTTTGAATGTGAATTTACAGGTCATCGGTGTGATCAGTCAAAATGACGGGTGACAACCAAAGCTTATGTGATCAGAAAGTTAGTTAAACCCAAATTCCATAGAAAGATTTATTGTGTTATTGTTTACAAACCCACCAAGGTATGAGACAGGGGCAATTTTGTCCCCTTTTGTTTATAATTTTTTTTGTGTTTATATACTGGCACTGCTATGGCTGGTGAAACTTCTGCAGAGCTTCCTGAGGCTCTATGGAAAGAGAGCTTAAAGCAAACTACAAAGTCAAAGGGAGTTGCACAGGTAGTTTCTCGCAACATTTATCTAAATTTCTTTTGGTCTTAACCTTATAAAGACGTATCATGATATAAGTCTCAATCCTTCTTTTTATCGTTGCATAAACACGAATATTTTTTACTGATTTTATCTTTCATATCGATAAGTTTATGATGAACAGCTGCAGATTATATAAATACGTTTGTCTGTTTAAATAAATAATCTAATTTGTGTGTTTGTGTATTTGCCTGTGTATGTTGTGTAATAAACAATCCAATAAAAAACATGGTTATTAGTAAGTATCTAATCTGCCACTCTTTTTGTTTATCAAATGTCTAAAATGCCCTTTATTAACTATGACAATTAGCTTATTTACTAACCTATTTGAATGATTTTTCAGCATTCATGCTGAATGTGCCATTATCATGTTTGATGTAACTGCAAGTAGGGGTGAGCGTGGTGCGGTTTTTGGCTAAAACCGAACCGAAAACTGCAACTTTGGTTTTTTGAAGTTTAGAAACCGCACCGTTCGGTTTGTATGCGGTTCGATTTTTGCGATTTTTTATGCGGTTTTTTGCGGTGCGGTTTTTTTTGCGGTTTTTTGTCAGTTTTTTTATTTGGTTTTGTTTTGCCTTTTTACTAAAACTTAGGTAAGTCAACGAGTTACTTTGATTCGGATGAGGATTGTTAATCATTTCTTAAGAAACTTTATGTAGATATGAATCGATACCACTACTTATTGGTTTGAACTCAAATGACATAACCACTCATCCGACATGCTTCTAATGCGTGAATATAATACGAATTAAATATAATATTTGTTTCGCAGGTACATGAGATAACATCAATTAATGTATTCGTAAAAATGATACTATCATCACTAGTACTCTTCGTTTTCATATGTTAAAAAATATAATAAACATTATTTGTTCTTGTAAATATACTATATATATGTTTAAAAAATATATAATCATCCTCTGATAAGATAGATATTTATATTTATAAAAAATTTAATTGTCATGAGTTCTTCATTCTTACAAATATCAATACTTAATATATATATATATATATATATATATATATATATATATATCGGTGCGGTTCGGTTTTTTGCGGTTTTTGCAAGACTAGAAAACCGCACCGCACCAAACATTTTCGGTTTTTGCAAAACTAAAAGCCGCACCGTCGGTTTTCATTTCGGTTTCGGTTTTGGTTTATGCGGTTTTTTCGGTTTTTTTGGTTTGCGGTTCGGTTTTTGCTCACCCCTAACTGCAAGGTTCACTTACAAGAATGTTACCACATGGCATCGTGATCTTTGCCGATTAGTTTTGTGGTATTTTTTCTTGCATTTTTTTTATCATGAATCTCTATTGTTTCTTGATGTATAGTTATATGGATTTTTATAGCGTTTGTGAGAACATCTCAATTGTGCTATGTGGAAACAAAGTTGATGTGAAGAATCGTCAAGTGAAAGCAAAACAACTTACTTTTCACAGAAAGAAGAACTTGTAGTATTATGAAATCTCAGCCAAGAGTAATTACAACTTTGAGAAGCCTTTCCCTTTCATGGAGGGGGGCAGGGGCAAAATGGGAATAAAGTTTAGACCTTTGTGATGAATACCAACTTTGTTAACTGATAGCAACCTCCGCCCCCCGTGGAGCGGGGGAACTCCCTCTAGTTATTACTAATAATATGCAATTGTAGGTCATAAATATCTTATTTTCATTTGAAAAAATGAATTAATGGTTCTTTTTTGTTCATGTTTTACATACTCTATGATTTTATCATTTACCCTAAGATTATAAGAAACTAATAATAATACATCATTTACAAATTATATTGCTAAAGAAAATAACTACAAGTTATAGAAAACTTAAGTGTGTAATAACTATTAAGATGACTTGTTATTGAAATTGATGTTTGTAAAGTAGAAAGTAAAAGTGACGCTCTTTGTGTCTGCCATGAATATTATAAAAAAATTATGTTTGTGTGATTGCCAAATTTCTTGAAGCATTAGACAAATTAAACAATTGGGATAAAAAAATTATGTTTGTGTGATTGCCAAATTTCTTGAAGCATTAGACAAATTAAACAATTGGGCCATGGGGTAGGTGGGCTACATAGTGAAAATCCAAGGCCTTAAGCTATGAAATGCAATGCTATGAAAAGTAACCAATTTTTTGGTTAATAAAAATAAAAAATGTTGGGGGAGGCAAAGCACCTGCTGGCCTCCCTATTGCCTCCGCCCCTGATTATCACATGATTGTTGATGGTTGATAGTATGTACCGGAGGTAGGAGTCGTAAACCATGGGCCCGAGCCAAACAATATGCTATTAACAAATACATACATGCAAAAAGTCGAACCTAAGAAGACATTTGACTACGAGGGTATTATGTTTGATTTTAAATTGGATATGTTGATACTTTTTATATCTTATAAGTGGCTTTTATGTTTGATTATGTTATAATATCAGGAGTTGTTTGTTGTATAAAATACAAGGATTATTATTTAACATATGATTCGCATATCTTAGATGTTAGGTACACAAAATAAGTTTTCAATGATGAAGAAAAGATACATTGGTGATGGTATGTTAACCTAATTTTAAATTCTATATTTTTTTAGCGAATAAAAAAAATCAAGTCGCGCTTGGCCCTGTAGGGTTGAAATTCTTCGTTATTGGCCATCGGCGAACAAAGGGTCCCAATGCCCATCACCACCCCATTGGTCCCACGGCAGATCCTATAAGCTTTTCTTATCGTACGTCAGCGCAAATCCGTCGCCCTCCGCACTTCGTATTTGCTCACAATCATCATCCATCAATTCAAAGCTCGCTCTCTTGCCGGACAGAGGAGGGATACTCTGTTATGTAAACTACAGACCTCCGTCCAGTATATCAGCATATTTTGCATCGAAGAATTTGATCTCCAATCAACAATCCTGGAGTTGCCTCTGTTTTGCCCTAATTTTCCCTGATTAGGGTTTTCAGTTCCATCTTGCTTGCCTTACAATTGGAAAAAAAAACTCACCGGTTTGATTCAGTGGTTTACAAGGATTCACGGTAAGTTAATCTAATAAAACCTTATGGAATTATATACATGAGAATGTTGAACCTTGGTGCGATCTTTCATGGATTTTGATAAATTTGTTTTTCACTTTACGTTGATGTTTGAGGTGAAAGTTAGTTTTTATGTTGTTTTGTGATTCTAATGAGCCGTTAATATTGAATTTGATAAATAAATATGACATTATTAGGGGCTTATAATTAAAGAAAATTGCCGATTACGTCTCTGGAAGTTCATAATTTAACAGCTGTGGCATATCACAGGTGACAGAAATCTGTAGAAGGAAAAATATTTTTTTGATTTGAACTGATAGGGCTTCAAGTCCAACTGTGAACCCCAAGGTTCATGCCAACAAGTAGTGCCTTATTCAAAGTGTAAGCCCTCAATGTGTCTTTATGTAAAGTTTTCAACTTCCTTTTAATATGATGCTGTCTTGAAATCTAGTGGTAGGATGATTGTAGGTTAAAACCTGGTTTTGAGTAATGGGAAGTAGGGAGATGGATAAACCTGCAAAGGAGGCAAAAGAATTGGCAAAAGAGACACCAACTTCCCAGGTGAATTTAATGCTCTTTCTCCATTTTTAGGTGTACATAAATGATGTTGTACTTATTACATTCATCATATATGTATATATATATATATATATACCTATTACTGAACTGAGTGTCAGAACTCAGAATGACATATTTATATCTGTTGTATCTTTTCTATGTTCAGGAGCAGTCCTCAGGTAATCCCATGGGGGCTGTCCCTGATTGGACGGGTTTTCAGGTTTCATATCTTTTAACACTTTTAAGCTTTGAAAATTTGAAGCATGTATGATGTGAGTCATTTGACTGAATCTAGGTGATATGTACATCTTGAACAGGCTTATTCCTCTATGCCTCCACATGGGTACTTAGCATCAAGTCCTCAAGCACCTCCCTACATGTGGGGGGTTCAGGTACTTTACTAGACTTGTTGGATTATTGATTTTTCTCAATGTAATTCTTGCATCCAACTTATTCTACATTGAATTATTCTGCATCTTTTAATAGCTATGTGTACTTGCAGCATCTTATGCCACCTTATGGTGCACCTCATCCGTATCTTGCTATGTATCCCCATGGTGGCATGTATACTCATCCATCTATGCCTCCGGTATTCTTGTTATCATTTTATCATTTTTGTGCTAGAGTTTTTTCCTTCTTCCTTACAGGAACTGATGTTGAAACATATTTTGAATTTAACCAGGGATCATATCCTTATCCATATGCAATGCCCTCTCCAAATGGTGTTGCTGAAGCTTCTGTGAGTTGCCTGAGCTAATAAATTTATAAACTTTTTACTATTCGAAAGTTTATAATATGTTAAAAACAACGTTTTAATTTGCATGTAGGGTAATACTACACCTGGCAGTGTGGAAGTGAATGGTAAGTCATCTGAGGGTAAGGAAAAACTTCCTATTAAAAGATCAAAGGGAAGTCTTGGAAGTTTAAATATGATCACTGGCAAGAACAATGAATCCAGTAAAGCTGGTGCATCTGCTAATGGATCTTATCCCAAAAGGTAATAACAAATAAACAAATAAACATTATCAATGGAATGTTGACCACCATTTGACCTTGTTTATGTGTATATAAAGTTTACTTGATTGATATTGGATTTGCAGTGGTGAGAGTGGAAGTGAAGGTTCAAGTGAAGGAAGCGATGCAAATTCTGAAAATGTAGGTATTCTTACAAGTACTTGTTTAATACAACTGAACTGATGGATGAGTATGTGAGATGGTATTGCTGTTGTGTTTGCAGAATTCACAAATGAAGTCAGGATCCAGGCAGGATTCTATGGAAGGTTGGGTTTTTAGTTCTAGAAGCTTCTTACATGGCTCCAGTTGTGCATTGTTTTCTGTTAATTATAAGTAAGTATGTTAATATTGGGTACTACAGGTGAAGAATCTCAGAATGGAAACAATGTGCATGGTTGTCAAAATGGAGGGCCAAATCATTCAATGGCGATTGTGCCAATATCAGGTCCAGGAAGTGTTGTAGGTCCCACCACAGGCACAAATTTAAATATTGGTATGGTGCAAATGTAAATGTAAATTCATCCTACTCTCATATTCCTGCAATTAACTTCTGCTCCAGTTTCAGGGGGAATGCTTGCTGGCTCAAGGGAAACCATTCAGCCACAGATCTGGCTACAGGTGTTGTTCTGTTTTAACTTTTATCCTCTTATTAGTATAATTTTGGATGATTAATAAAAGGGATTCTTATTTCAGGATGAAAGGGAGCTAAAGAGGCAGAGAAGGAAGCAATCCAATAGGGAATCTGCTCGCAGATCCAGATTACGCAAACAGGTAAGAAACGTTTCCCTTTCAGAAAGAAATTTATTTTTATTACAGCATTCTACTTTGAAAAAATGATGAAATTATAGCATTGTACTTGCAATCATTTTCTTATTAGGATATATATATATTATATAGTTTGAAAAAAATGCTTGCTATATATTTAACCCAAAAAAATTGAATGATGGGGTGGGGAGTCAGGCGGAATGTGACGAGCTGGCTCAACGGGCAGAAGCGTTGAAGGATGAAAATGCGTCTCTTAGAGCAGAAGTGAGCCGTATTAGGACCGATTATGACCAGCTTCTTGCTGAGAATGCATCCCTTAAGGTGCTGCCTGCTAATTCTATTAAACTTATTTTATTATTATTATTATCATTTTATTTTTGTAATTTTGATGAGGATATGGTTTTTGCAGGAGAGACTTGGGGAAACTCCTAAAAAAAATAATGAAGAGGGAGAACACAAACATAGTTGACAGCTGCTGGGGTTTAACCTAACGGAATGGAACTAGCAAACAGGAAAAATCTGTGGTTTTACTTAGTAGTAGATTGATACTGACCATTTTTCCTCTTAGATGGCAGGATATTAATGACATGATATCAATTGTATCCATCTTTTCTGAATTCATCTATCTTTTGAGGTTGTTGAGTGTAGAGTGCCAACACTTCATGTTCCTAAAATAGGCTTAGCTTTTTACCTCTCTAGATTTTTGTATTTACTAAATGCAATCGGATGGCTTCTACATTTTAGGTCAAAATACATTATGTTATATGACTTCAAAACTTTTCATCTCAGCTCTTTAAATTGCAGACGAAAAATTTTGTTTTCAATCTATCAATGGTAGCCGTGGATGTAGATTTTTAACAATTTAGTCTTTGACGTTGACATTAGATAGTGATATAATGTTTAGTCTTTACTAATTCGTAAACCTTTTAGTCTTTGCCATTAAAGAATCTTTTGACGTAGACAAGCTTATATCGTTAAGCATTTTATTGAAAAAAAATATTAAACTGATTAAAAATATTCGTAACAGGAACAAGGTTTGTTTGTTGTTTATGATTTTGGTTGGGAATTGGGATGTGACCTTAGTCCACAATACATACAAGGAGGTTTTGTTTACGTACTTACAAGGTGGGAGTACAATAGAAAAATTTTATATACTAGTTGTGGGATCATTGTGTATTAGATCGATTAAAAAAGGTAAATATGAGGTGCAAACATCAAATATTTTTAAAATAAAATTTCAAAATAAAAACAACCGAAATGAAGAACAGTTAAGTACTTCAGTCTATATTAATAAAAAAAAAAACTATTGATATATTTTAAAGAATTGTCCTGAATCACAAATTTCTAAAGAATTTTTTGAATAAAAAATAACATTACATGTCTTATCGCTAAACACACGTTGAATGAAAAAGAAAACCAAATTATCGGATTGTTAGGCCGTCGATTGTCTTCTAACAGGTAGTAATCAATTTATTTTTTTCCTTTCTACTTTACTTCTACATTTCACTCTTCAGTCCACAAGCTAATCTCTCTTTAACAAAAATAAAAAACCAAAATAAAATATAATCAAAGATATAGAAACATAAATGAAATATTATGCCACATAAAAATCTCAAAAGCAATGAGCTATTTTAAAAACTTTATAACCACATTGTTTGGTCAAAAAATTAAAATTAAAATATCAAAACTCTAACAAGGAAAAAAAAGATGATATCTCACTCAACTTGTAACATAATACATAAACAATATAAATGTTGGAGGAAACATTGAAGAAGAAAAGATCACATGAGAAAAAGAGGGAAACTTGCACAAAAAGTGTAAACCTTTATTAATTACTTGCAACAAATTCTTACAAAGACAATATATACATATTTATACACGATGAAACAATACAACGCTTCATGAACCGTTGCAACTTTTGGAGCCAAATGTATTGTAACTGCCCCTGCCCCTAACAATAACTGCCTTCCCAACCATATTAATTACTAAATTAAGCCTAATAAATACTAATATTACCATTATCAGATCACACAACTTATTTT